TCGCAGTATCTAAATGTGATTCTGTACTTTTAGAAACAGGTTTCAAAGTGAAAAGATCTTTCTTCTACCACTCACATAAAACTGCCCACCCAAAGGCTGCCCATGCAATGCATGCTAGGCTGTGTCCAAATATAATTTAAACTAGGTTTCATTTTAATGCTTAAGATAGGGTTCACTGAGTGGATTTCATGATGAAAACCTTAAAGTTACCTCCGATCTTAGGACACACCAGGTATGTCTGTTTCTCTGTATCTGCACTGTAGAGTCTATTCTTGAGTTCATTTGGGGAGACTAGTGAAGGAAATCCCTAAAGACCTTTTCCCCCATGCATTAAGATGGAAAATCTTATGAGATTTCACCCATGTTTGCTTTCTAAATTATGCCAAAAGCTCAATTTTATTAAGTATAATCCGCTTAGACATGCATAAAATAAAATGCTTTGGTTAAGATGTAAGTGTATGTATTGCTTATGTTGATTTTTTAATAAAAATATTTTACATGTGCCAATAGAATGTGCTTAATTAAAGATAATAGAGTACCATTGCCTTCTCAAATGCTTTTTGGAGATTAGTGGTATGTGACTAGGATATATATATATATGTATGTGTGTGTGTGTGTGTGTGTGTGTGTATGCATATATCTGTAAGTAGATTTCAAAAGAGGGAGCTACTTATGAATAGGATTACTGTTTACTCCTATTTATGAATAGGATTACTGTTTACTCCTATTTATTTTAAATTACTAAGACAAGATACCTTCATTTTGAGAGTAACCATATATTTATGCATAGAAAAAATTTTGTCACATTAGATCTTGGATACTAAAAACACAGTATTGTCATTTTAATTAGGTTATAAAATGATTTATTTGAACTATTTATGTTCAAGATTCTTGAAGGATTTCAGTCACATAAATGCAGAATTTCAGTTTCTTTTAGCCTAAAGCATCATTTTAACATTTTCTAAAAGGTTGTTCAATTCTACATTTTGATTCCATTATATGTATAATTAAACCTCTATGCACAAAAGCATTCTCTTATGTACTAGCAAGTACACCCACAGGAATCCTCTTCTAAACTATAATTTATTTAAACATGTAATCATAGGATTGAAAAAACATGCTTTCATTTTTCCAAACTATATGCCAATTTGAACTGCTTGGTAATAAAATAAGGGATTTTATTACCAGTTTGATTTCCCTCCACCCCCCTGTGACTTAGTAGTGAACGAAAAATGGGCAGAACGAAATTTTTAAAAGAAGAACATTGATTGTGTTCAACCTTGATTTCTCTTTTGGAGAAAAACAGTAAAGAATCAAAGATTTGTAGTTACTTATGAATTCCAACACAAAATGAATATCGGGCCCTACATTATTCTCTCTCGAACTGGGCCTAAATACTGGCATATCTTGTTTTATTGCCCCTTATTGTGCTTCCCAGATATTTGTTGTGTGTGTGTGTGTGTGTTTCACAAATTGAGAGTATATGGTAACCCTGCATTGAAGAAATCTATCGCGGTACTATTTTTTCGACAGCATGTGCTCACTTCATGTGTCTCTCTCACATTTGGGCAATTCTCAAAGTATTTTAAACTTTTTCATAATGCAACTGCACTTCATAACGGCAGCACAGGGTACACATAACTTTTATATGCACTGGGAAGCCAAAAATGTGTGTGACTCACATAATTAAGATAATCACTTTATTGTGATGGCCTGGAACCGAACCTGGAATATTATCTCTAAGGGATGCCTATATTTGTGTGTGTGTGTGTGTGTGTGTGTGTGTGTGTGTGTGTTCCTTTGGTCCTCTTGAACATTGTGTGTGTGTGTGTGTGTGTGTGTGTGTGTGTGTGTGTGAGAGAGAGAGAGAGAGAGAGAGAGAGGTCCTCTTTCCCTCTTGAACATAGTAGAGTCAGGCCCCCTACTGACAGGATCAGTCAATTACAGATATTGACTGGGATTTCAACCCATGAAAACCTGGTAGGGAAATCTGAGTCCGGAGTTTTCAGCATGGCCCTTGGTTACACTTTCTGATCCTTTTGCCGGATTCGTCCACCCTGAACACATTAGAAACCCTAAAAAGAAAGAAGCCCTGCCAATTCAAGGAGTAGTTTATCCCCAAAGTGATTGAAGACTTGCAATACTTTTTCCTAAAAAGTACTGCTTCCCAGGAACCAGAATAAAAATTTGGAAAACATTGTCGAAGAGTTACCTTTCTTTCCCTGCTCATTTTCGTGTTCTATTGAATCATGCCACTCCCAAAACAATAATAATAAATTTGTGACAACTGCCTATCGTGAGTGCATTAAGATTTGGACGAAGCCTGAGTTACCAAGCAGTCAGTTCCGGAAGTTTGCTGTTGAAGAATAAAGAATCACATGACAGCGTTTGGCTTCCTCGTAGGCTCACTGTAAGAACTCCAGGACACGTCCCATTCCCTGGGAGGTCATACTCAGGTTGTCCTTAGAGTTAACCCAGCATAAATCTGGGTATGTTTGTATTCGCTGTGAGAGCCAGAGAGGTGAGCGCGAATCGCTTTAGATGTGCGCATTCGTGTTTTCGAAGCGTGGTGATTACAGCCTTCAAGTTCTCTAGGCCCCCGCTTTCCTACGACTAGAATAAAAAATAACTTGCCACCACTCATCGAGGCCACGCTTGAGTTTCCGACGGTCTGAAAATAGCTTCCTGGAGCCGGGCCCGCCATGTGGATAAAGGAAAGTTCCCCATCTGACCGCGCCCAGCTCCCTAGCGGAAGGGGAAGGGAACCCGGGAGGGCGCCACCAGCACTGGAACTATTGCTATTTTTGGGTCCCGCCGGGCCGGTGCGTCAATGCCTGCGCCCCTGCGTCACCGCCACCCCACCCCCACCCTTCCTTCTCCCTGGCTCTCGAAACTCACTATTTCCCTTTGGTTCGCGTGGAATCGCTGCTGCCCAACGAGCGCTGACGCTACTGCACTCATGCAAATAAGCTATGCTGCGCCCACCCTCCTTTCTCCTTTCTCTCCCCCAGTTCACCTATTGGCCCACCACCACCACCACAGCATACCCCAACACACACACACACACACACACACACACACACACACA